TGTCTGCAAACTCAACAGGAGCAACACCCTTTCCCGTGAACGGTGCGCTCCACGTCACAACATCCTGTTGGCCAACACAACACCATGTTCCAGAGATTTCAAAAAAAAGAAAAAGAAAAAGGCCCGGGGCCTCTCGGGACCCGTCCTCGGTTTCGCTGCAACCCGTGCGCCCTCCATCAATCTGGTCGGGCTTGTTGTGCAGGTATCTGACAGCCATTCTTTAAATATTCAAAGAGCCTGAGCATTTTCAGATGGGAAAGGACAGCCTGTAAATCAGAGGGAGCAGACACTAATGGATCCCACACTCAGACCAGGACCAGCTCGCTGGCTCTGGGCCGGGCTGCTCGTTTGGCCAAAACGCAGTTGTGTGTTTCACCCTTTAAAATACGGCCGATGTCCAATAGCATCTGTTACAAATGGTGTTTGTGATGGGGTTCGTCCACAAGGCTCGTTTTTTATGTGCCCATCCCATCATTTTATAGTGGCTGCAAAGCGTTCGTTCAAAATTCAGATGATTAGCTTTGAATCTATGTCAGGTCTGGGCCCTCATATTTCATGCTTGGATAGATGATATTCAAAATTCTGTCTTGTGAATATGCCTTTTTCCTGCATAATCATGAGTAAAACGGGTTCTCAAGTAATCAAGTCAGCTTTTTCATAAGTCCCGCTTATTACAAATCACTATGCTTTTGCATGTTTTAACTGACCCCACTAGGTGGTAAAATATCCCTTTAAATAGATTATTTGACTGGAATAAATGGTAAGAAGAAAAATAAAAAGAATCTCAGCTGAAATGGCCGTTTAAAAAGCTTTTTTCTCAGCAAATGGAAACAAGAAAAACACTTTTAGAGAAGGAGAATAAAGTCAGTGTGCTCATACAAAAAAAAAAAAAAGAAAAAAATTATCAGAAAGGTAAGATGAGACAGTGTAAGGTGTGTTTTAGACTCTGGGATCCATCTTCTGTCTCATGTCAGAGTGCCAAAAATCCCAAACCTTAATGAACCAACACTTTTATTTCACACATTTTAAATCCTTAAAAAAAGGGAGAAGTTCTTTGTTTTTAATATTAGATCTTCTGAATTGAGTCTAATGACCACATTTACGGCTTGTATGAGTCATATATCATAAAAAGAAGTCATTCACTGGTTAAATAGATGTCAAGATAGGCTTTTGAAAGTCAAATTCCTTTAAATCCTGCTTTTTCTTCTCTCCATTATGCCTCCCCACAATGGAGTTATGTATTCAGCTGAACAAATAATGCCATTTGCAGCCCGCGTGAATCAGTAACCTCCTTCTTAACCTTTGGGGCCTTTTGTTGCGTGATTAGCGCCTTGTTTGTGGACCTGGACCTGGTCCGGTGTGCGTTTTTCCCCCCCGTTTGACGCTGGGACCCATTTCCAGTGAGTTATTGTGAGCGGGGGCTGTCGTGTGCTGCAGACTTCCAGAGGCTCGGGGACTTGGCCGGGCAGGTATAAACATCCAGCGCAAGACTCTCCAGACGCACTCCTGTCTTCACTCTGGCTTTCCGCAACGCCGAGGCCTTTAATGGAAGGAACTAATCTGTCCAAAATGAAATGGAAGGGGGTTCATTTCCAGGTCTGGTTCACTCGTGATATTAAAACCTCTGGACGGACGTCCCACGTGAAAGTTTAATCCCCTCATTCTGCCTCCCTCCGTTTGGATAAAGGCCTGTTTTTGTGCACCTGCATTGTGGTTTTTATCTCCTGCTGGAATCCAATAGGGTTTCCCGGCATGCTCGCGCCACCTCCGTGCGGCTCAGCTGAGGGGCCCATTGTGTTGAGAGCAGTGTGTGTGTGTGTGTGTGTGTGTGTGTGTGTGTGTGTGTGTGTGTGTGTGTCATCCCTGCTCATGTGATTGTTTGTGGTTGGTTCTCGTTGAATGGGAACCCTCCTGATGTAATGATCCCTCTACTTCCTAAAGCACTCAACCATGACCATCACCTCTCACCCCTGAATCCTCCCCCCTCCAGAGCCCTGCATTTGCATATGGAAGTGTCCATGTGAAGGCAGGGGGGGGGGGGGCCTGGGGGGGGAGGGGGCCAACACGGGGTGCAAAGGGGACTCTGTAAAGAATACCCCAAAATAGAGAAGGAGGCGATAAGACCAGCTTTGTTCGGGGGACCCTTTGACCCCGTCGGCTTAGAGGAGGGTGGGAATGTGACACATCCAGCAGGAGAAGCCCTCATACGTTAATCCATAATGCACGCCTGGCCGTGCACGCTCATCCGTAAACACATCTGCGCTGTCTCCCGAATGGCAGCTGCCATTGTGTACGGAATCTGTCTCTTTTGCTTCCAAACACCTCTCAGGGGTCTCCGGGCGAGAGGGGGAACGGTGAAATACGAGCCCCTCCGCCCGCCCGGTGACGTAACGCTTCAAAAAACAGTCGGAGCAGGTCGTATCGCCCCAAATAAAAGCAGGAAAAGAGCGAAAAAACCTGAAGAGTGTAACTCTGCTCCGGCTCCGTTTACAAGACTGCCAGCACCTTATAAACTCCAGCCGTAAATTTGACATCATTTGGACAGAGAGATTTACTGTAATCTGCAGCAGAGTTTGTCAAAGCTGCTGGAGACCAGAGAGTGTTATGTTAACGTAAGGGCTGTTCGTGGATCTCCAGGTGGGATTACTTCCCAAACGGTATTTTTAGACACGTCGGTGGTTTGGTTTGGTTTAGAGCTACAATGTCCAGACTCAAATCTGAAGTAGACAAATAAGATCTGACACAGATGATGTCCAGGGCCACAGGTAAAGCATATCTCGACCCCTGTAAGAGTAAAAAAAGGCACTTTTCAGGCTTAGATTTGAAGCAAGTTGGCACTGAAGTGCCAGTAGACATGAGGAGTGGGGATTTAAACGAAAAATCCTACGCTCGATTAATACCCCCTGCTCACCGGAGCTGCAGCCAACCAAAAAACTCCCAAAAAACACGTCATCTATTGTCAGTCTGAGATAACACAGATCCACAAAGCCCATTCTTAAGAGACTTAAAAAGATGGAACCCAGGCAAAGAAGGAACCAGTTAAACTCCTCGTCACGGATCATCAGGAGATGGTCTCTGGTCCAGGTTCCCAGCTCAGGGATGCAAGTCCAAGTCAGAGACACGAACCCGACAGGCCGCTCGTTTAGCAGATTATTTAATATCCCAAAGAGGTTGCATAGAAACAGCTCACACATGCTGCCATCCAGACCTCTCCGAGCTCGGCCAGCTCTGGGTCTGTGTCAGGCTCAGGCTCAGGCTCAGGGTCTGGGTCAGGGTCTGGATTTGGGTCTGTGTCAGGGTCAGGGTCTGGGTCTGGGTCAGGCTCAGGGTCTGGGTCTGGGTCAGGGTCTAGGTCAGGCTCAGGCTCAGGGTCTGGGTCAGGGTCTGGGTCTGGGTCAGGGTCTGGGTCAGAAACAGGGTCAGGGTCTGGGTCTGGGTCTGGCTCAGGGTCTGGGTCAGAAACAGGGTCAGGGTGTGGGTCTGGCTCAGGGTCTGGGTCAGAAA